TTACAAAGGATTAAAAAGGAATATTTTTTGCATCTTAAGCAACTTATGAAAAGGTCCATGCGTGGGTGTCATCGATATATCTTGTTTGTATAATTTCAGTGCATAAAAGAAGCTACCTTTTTGGTGGGCCTTTTGTCTGGATGTCTTTCTAACTTAAGTTGGTTGTAGTCCAGCCAATTTTGGAACCTATTTCTTTTTCTAACAAGTTTTGCAAACTTGTTTGCATTGTAGATAACCTGAATAAAGACAAAGATAACATAACTACATAATAAAAGCATAGTAGAGCCCCAGAAAGGACAATGGATATAAACATCATGTACAACTTGTTCAAAGAGTTACAAGGAAGTAATCTAATTTAGTGTGAGAGTCTGCACAAACTCTAAATTTAAAAATTGAATCCATTGAATCACACAGGTAAACTGCAGAGAGGGATTATGGTTAGATACTTACCGCTGTCAATTAGAAGAAAATTGAAAGACAAGAAACTAATCTCAGGAAAGAAAATTCAATAGAAGATCCATATTACCTGGTGACAAAGGTAGTGATCTAGGTGGTTTGTTTGAAAGAAGTGTTCGAGACTATCTGATATTGAGCACCAGAAACATGTGGCACGCTCCTGACAGGTACCTGAATAAACATGCATGAAAAGATTATGCTACACAAGAATTGGAAAAACTTGTCAAACTCCAACAAATATATAGAACATTTAATTTAGTAAAAAGAAGAGTATTCCATAATGGAGTCTTCATTGAATAAATGATAAACAATGTCCACATGTACCCATTTTTTTTCCAGCCATTCCTATGAGACTTTGGATCACAAAGGTGGGAAACTAGTCTTTTATTAGAGATCGAAGACACACTGAAACGAATTTTTCCTATCACTCTATGGTATTGGTATCCTCACATCTACTCTTGAAGATAAACCAAAAACACAACAGCAATGAATTTGGCAACAGCAAGCATCAAAAAGCCTCGAACCTAGAACACATGTCTTCTTCAACAGATACAACCTATATTTTATCTGGCAAACAAAGATACAATAACCAAACATTCCAACCTCAACTCCAACAGATAATCTTATGTGTCCAGATCCTTGATCCAAAATTCCTTGGGTATTTGCATTTTCAACATCCCCAGCTAGTCACGCCTTGTATATCAATGAGTAGTATACTTGATGAATTTCAACAAACACAACCCAGGGTATAACTTGTTCTAACTGCATTTGGTTTTTTTGTTTACAAACCATCCTAGGATAGAAATATAATACTCCCACTACTATCACATTTCAAAGGTAGATTAACAAATTGATAGTAAAAACATCAGGGAGTTCTCAAAGAAAACAATGCCAAAATTGCTTTCTTATGAGGGAGGCTACTTTATCCAATTTATATGGTTACTGCATCTTGTTCTTCTCAACATCCAAAAACTTCAATATTATGGCCTTTTGACATCTCAACTGGCGCACATAAATAAGCCATAAACCATATAAACCAACCAAATCTTATGATATGAGATCCAAGCTCTCTTCACAAACTTCTCCTGTGTGACCTGAGTTATTAGGTGGATTAACAAATAGAACCATAAGAAATGAACATACCGAGAAATCCTAATGGCTGTAAAACTAGGCCCACTAACCAACTAAGGTTTCACTTTAATAATATGATCTAACTTGACCCAAAAATGGATCAAGAGGTCCCTCCACCTTATGCACCAGCTTTGGGAAGTCCTAAGTTTTCCACGTGGATACAGACTATCTTCAGAGTGAGGTGGATTTTCTTCCCTATTGTGACTTTGGTAATCTGGTGTACTTTTTGCATGCCTTTTCTTTATGCCTTTTCTACAATTAAATAATTTTGACTGAAAAGGGAAGTGGAAAAACGAAAGAAAGAGAAGTAAAATACTACTGGTCAGGCAGAAAAAAATGTAAAATACAAGGTTCTGACAAAGCGAAGAAATTATAATTAACCTTTGTGGAACAACTAAGCCTTAACAACGCACTATGAATGGCAGAATGAAGAAAAATTAGATCTTGTTCTTAATAATTAACAGCTAGTTGGAATGGTCATAAAACAATTGAAAATCGACTCACAGTAAATTGCTCTACCCTCCTCCCTTGTGAAGCCAAAAAGTTCAACCTCATGGATGCTACTCTACCATATTCCTTGTAGAGCATGTAACAGGTCCAAAATGTGAACAAGTACTCCATTGATATGTGTACAAAAACCTGAAATTCAACCATTGGAGCTCTTCTGTTAAAGCTGGATATGGCCTCTATACCCTCTTTCATGCTTTTGTATGCCATTCTTTGTTTTGGTTAAGTTCATCGTTTACTGATATTGTCATATTTTCTCCGTGTGTGTCTCCTCTTATTATGTTAAATGCAATGATTCTATGATTATAACAATATCAATAAATCTGTAATGACCTCAATGATTTGATGACATAAGGAGTAATACGTACACAAAATTTTCTTTTGAGGAATTCGGTTAGCAACCAAGTTTTTATTTTTTTCTGTTTTTTTAAATGAGGAGTTAATATGACATACAAACATTGTGTGGTTTTCATGCAAACCTAAATAGTAAAAATGACACTAATTTTATTAATTACTTTTGACCACAAGAATTGGGTGAAGCCTTTGCTAAGTTGAGCTAACTTTAAAAAAAAAAAAAAGCAATGGAAACCCATCCAAACGAGGCTTTACTTATTGAATGATCTCAAAGTTTCACTTAGTAAAAAAATCCTTCAAAATTCAAATAAAAACTTCACAATTTACATCTAAACATGAGGTGCAAAGCGAACCCTTCTTTATCTGGAAAATCTCCAATTCTCCACTTAATGGATGTAATATTCGAGTCAATCAGATATTGACAGACCTAAAACTTAAATCATACTGGTAAAGAGTGACATAAAACTTACTTGATAGATTTAGGATGAACATTTGATATTGAAAGCTTATCGATGTCGCTAAAAACCAAATCTCTTCTCAGAAAAAACAATGTACCATCTGATACATTAACTGGGATAAGCACCAAGAGTGCCACAATAGCAATTGGCCCAAAAATTTTTAAGCTATCAAAGATCATAGGGTAAAATATTAGAACCAAAACAACAATCTTTTCATTCCTACAACTTGATATTGTTTGCTTCAATATATCAAAGCTTCACATAACAAATTGAACTTCTTTTAACGTTGTAAACAAATAGAAGTAATTATTCCACATAAAATGCTTGCCTTAACACCAGTAATAATGCTCGTACACACTTGCCCATGCATATGCACGTGCAATGCTCTCTCTCTCTCTCTTTCTCTCTCTCTCTCTGAGGCACACAAACATATATACATACATGCATGCATGCACATTCATAAAGAGATTTTAGGATTGAATATAAAAGACAGAGAGACAGAGAGAGAAGGAAATATATCGAGGAAGTTTTTGTTCATAAATTCTTCGCCATCATAGGACAAGGCTAACGAATATTGAGCATACCGACTATTACTCAAATGACCATTATAGTGATGTTAAACTAAGAATCTCATTTGAAGAATATGGTGGGAAGAATTTAATAAGAAAAAAAAAAAGGATTAGAATGGGGAAACATCTTCACATTTAATAATACCTCTGTGGGATGTAAAATTAATACCCTTTATCTTCATCATTATTCCCAAAGGTTATGAAAGATTTAGAAGTTTGTATGTTACCTTGCAATGGTGACAACAACATGCTCGTGTGTCAATTGCATCATTATATGCAATCATTTTAATTCAAGTTAGCATCAATCCACTAAACTGTGAGCAACATCTTTGACAGACTGGCTGATAACACCTTTCTTGGGACCTAACTTCTCAAGTTCCTTCAGCTGAAACTCATCCAAACACAAGATGCATATTGATATGAGTAATATAATGGATTGGATGATGATGCTGGATCAATTAGTGCCGCTGAGGGATGTTTTTGGCTTAAAATACTGGGCAGTATGCTGACTGTCTAGCAGTATTTTTTGTAGTTGGACAGAAGGGTTTGACAGACTGCTTCTGTTTCAGTGTTTTGGGGTATGACTAGCAGCTGGTTAGTGTGGTTTTGGTTGTGGTGTTTAGAGAGGGCTGACTGTTGGCCTGGAGCTGGTTTGCATGGATCATGTGCCTGGAGCAGCTGGACTGACTGTTTTGGTCTGTTCAGATTGGGATAGGGGTTTCAGTAGCTGATCCAGTAATGCAGTAAAACTGGTTTGATCCTCTTGAAGGATTAAAGCCAACTTACTTATTTTTTGCAAATTTTTTGAATGGTGCTATGAAGTCGTAATGATGTGCAGTGTTAGTCTGTGCAGTATGCTGGTGTAGACATGTTTGGGTATGACTTTGTTTAGATGTTCTTGTTGCATGCAGTGGGGAATATGAGCTGAATGTGGAGATTCGTCATTCCTAGTAGTCTGATTTTGACTCAGGTGTTGTCCAAGGTTTTTGGGTGCTGGATGTTGTACTCTGTGCAGCATCAATTCAATGGCACAGGAACTGGGCTGTGAGCAGAGGGGCAGAAGCTGAGCTGGGAGGATATTCTGCAGGTAATGTACAGGAATTTTAACTGTTCTTGTAATAGTTCACAGTTTTGATAAAAAAAAAATGCAAAGGCATGGCCCCAGTGTAATTGCATTTGCCATTATTACATCACTAACTGTAGTAGTAGTAAGTGTATAAGAAGAAGAAGAAGAAGAAGATAATGTTAATAAATTAAGACCCTAGAGAATTTTCAAGTTTTCAACTCTTAGTAATGGTGCACAAGAATGAAACTGAAATGAAAGAGCACATATACCTAAGGCAGAGTTCTTTAAAACATTGAAACATGAACAAAATTTCAAGATATATATGGTCTTGGAACATTGTTTTAAATAATAGTCTCCTAACCATGACATTTTTTAAGATATATATGGTCTTGTGCAATGTCATCGATCCTTTTAATTACAAAGTTACAGTACAGCAACAGATGCACATGCATACAGCTCTGTGTTGACAAATTCCTAAAAAGAGCGGCCAACATTTGATAGCATACAATTAGAAACTTCTAAATCAACATTTTCAATATGATATTATGATTATCAAGCACTGCAATCCAAATATTCCCAGTAACATTCAATGCAAAATATGCTCAGCACCGAGAGAAAGTGAATAAGTGAATAAAGGCCGAGAGAAAGTCACTATTTAACAATAATTATACCTAGGATTAGCCCAGAAGGATCTCTTATCCAGGTCTGGAACAACCAAAGTAAGATTTAAAGGCTGAGAAACTATGACCATGTAACAAATCTGAAATGCCAAACAGGGTACGTCAATGTAAATATAAGAAAACCTCACAAAAGAGAGCAAAAATAACATACAAACTGCAGCACGCATCTGATTCAAGCCCCCATTGCAAGCCACTTTAAGGAAACCATTACTTGTGTAATTCCCTGTAGAAGATTATGGGTAAGGTCTAAATGTACTCTGAAAAAGAGCTTGTAGACTTTTCACAACAAATATCAAGGACTTCCATCAGGTAAACTCTTACTTCAAATAAAGTTGTTCACAACATCTAAAATAGTTTATGCAGCTAATCCAAGAGTAGTAGCTGGCAGTTCTTTAATCTATCTCTCGTCTGTTATTATATAGATATGTAGTTAAATTAAAGCAAGATTTCTCTGTTGATTGCGTGAGATTGCTTACCACAGGATTTGGGGCATCGTCCTCCTTGCACATAAGCCATGGGACCTCAGTATCCAATTCAGTAGCCATTTTTGCAGCCCAAGTCATGTAGACATAACCAGCTACACCGTATGCCTTGCTTTTTGGCCCATACTCATTCTCAATCTTCACAAATATAAATTTACATATTATAGCAATTTTTGGATTGAAATTGTAAACTCCTAACTTGCATGAATATGAATGTGTTTCAGTTTTTCTGCCTTTTATGTTAATGGAAATAGAACTATTAACATAGTCAGCATATGCCCAAGAACTTTTTGGTGTTGAAACCCTTAATGATGGTTCATGGCATAAATACACCAAAGATAGTAGCAAATACCCGAAAGCTGTATCAGGAGAGGATGATAGGGCCACCTTGAGACTCAAATAACTTTTCATTCTTCATCATTTGGACAATTTTTTTGGGTGAACCCCTGGATTGCCATCTGCAACACCATGCAACACCAACAATTAACCGAAAAAATCATGGAAAAGTTTATGCAAATTACTATGTGAAGGCTTTATCAGAAACATATATCTTGTTGGCTTCACAATTAGTCATGTTTTCTTGCTTCTTGCAATGTCCATCACACACACACACACACACTGAGTGAGAGAGAGAGGGAAAGAGACCTTGAAAAGTTCATTATCTGTTCTGAAGCCGATGCTAGGCACATACTTCAACCAAACAAGAAATCCCTTAGAATAAAAAAATTCAACACCAGAAATTAAAGAGAGAAAAATTCCCCTTCTTGAATCAGGCTCCAAATTCTTACCCAAAATTTCACTCGGCACAAATAAAAGGCCCAATGCAAAGATTCACATGTAGTCCTGCTTTCTAAACGATCTTTATGAACTGAACCAAGTCATTTCTTCCCTCGAAGTTATACTAAAACCCCATAAAGTAAGACACTTTTATTAACATAACAGGAGACAAGGGTATCGAAGAACTGCTAAAGATGAAAGTATTTTGTTTGTGTACAGAATGAAATGAAAATAGAATACCAAAAGGGTATCGAAGAACTGCTATAACCCACTTCTGAAAAGCACTTGTTCCCATGCATGCATTAGTTTCAATACAAGTGGAGAACAATTGTTCCCATACCTTGTCATCTTTCTCATCGAGTTTCTTGATGTTTTGCTTCATGTGCTTTAAATCTTCACAGGATTTAACATCCTGTCTTTCAAACTCCTTCAAACAATTCAACACTTACACCACATAGCCAAACAATTAACACTTATCATCAGTGTTTTGAAAAGCTCGCCTAGGCGAGAAGCGAAGCGAGGCAAGCTTATCTCGCCTGGAGGATCTCAGGCGAAGGGAACGTGAGCGAAGCGAGAAAAAACGAAAAAACAAAGAAGCGAAAAAGCGAACGCTTTATTATAAGAGGCAATTCTGCTTCCTTTTTTTTTTTGATTACAGGTTAGTAGTCTCTTTTATTTTTTAATCACTAATGACTTTTTTTTAGACTATCGCTGATTTATTTATTTTTTTTTTTCTAATAAACCATGTTTCGAACAAAACACATTCCTTTTTTTTCCTTGTGTTGCTAAATTCATTTAGAATATTTGTGGGATGTGGGAGTCAGGCGACTGCATGACAAAATTATGATAAAGAAAGGAAGCAGGAGTATCAGGAATGGGGGTAAATAATAGAGTCTTCTACAAATAAGTGTCTCTGATATGTCTTGATTATACTTTTTCCTTTTCTTATATATATACAAATGGTACCAAAAAGTGGTCTATACTTATACCATGTTTAATTATTTTAGTACATGTGAAATGTGCCTCTATTCTGCTTTTTTTATTCAGTACATAATTACATATGAAATTGTTTACAATTGATTCTGCTCCTGTCATGATCATTGTGCTTCTGTTTTTTTTTTAGCTCATTCTGTTTCTATTTTTTTTTGTTGATTCTGTTGCTGCTTCGGTTTTGTTGTCCTGTGCTGTTTCTGTTTTTTTTTATCCTCATTCTGCTTCTTTTTTTTTTGTTGCTGATTCTGCTGCTGTCTTGATTCTGCTTCTTTTGTTGTCCTACCCTGTCAATATGAAAATGAATACAATTGTTAGAATTTGTTTGAATTTAAATGTTTAAGTTATAACTGTTATTAATATTTGAGATATTATTAGTGTTTGTTTTAATTTAAATGTTTATGGTTTTACTTGCATTTAAATATTTAGTATATATAAAATTTGAATTTAGATTGTTTAGAAGTAATTAAACTAAAATATATATATATATATTTTAACTGTTCGCTTTGCTTCGATAAAGCGTGTCACTTCGCTTCTCGCTTCTCGCCTAGGCGTTAGGAGCCTTGGTCGCTTCGATTCGCTTTACGCCTTAAATAACACTGCTTATCATAAAAAACCACTTAAAAGGCAAACCCCTCAAATCACATATTAAAACAACAATCACACATCAAAACAAGATGGAATCATACAATATTTAAATATATAACAAAAAGATAATTCGTCAGCCACTTTAATGCAGAAGTCCATAATTCATCTGTTATAAAAAAGAAAAAAAATACATTAATAAATTATCAATCAAATTTTTCAAAAACACTAAAGTGTTGAACTTAAAATGACAATAAAAAGATACTAACTAAGACTCGGGTGGCATGTCTACATTAGTTGAGTTGCCCTGTAGGGCACGTTGCAGTTGAAGTTGCATCTGCACAAGTTGTTGCATCATCTCTTGTTGAGCGTCTTCAAACTTCCCAAGCTTCTCTTTTTTTTCGTCATGTTCCTTCTGAAGAGAATCAACAGTTGCTTGCAACTCTTTTATCATATCAGCTTGTTCTCGACACTCAACACTGCATCTGAATGACTGACTAAAGGATGATGGCTTTGGGCCATGTCCAAATCCTTTCTTATATATAGGTCGGTTGCCAAGGATTGTGCATGCAATTTCATCCAGTGTCAATGGCTCTACACTCTCTTCTAAGTTTTGTGTGGTCAATTCTTTCATCTGCTCCTACAATTTAATATATTTAAACCCAATTATTGAATGTATCATAAAAATTAACTTAAAAAATAATAATAATAATTTTCTACAATTTGAAATACTTACATACCTTGACTTTGCCTCAGCAGAAACCCACTCACCCTTCTTGTTCACATGAGAATCGTGAAAAAAATCAACAATGTGGGGGTGGCTCATTAGTTGTAGGATCCCTCTGTTGCAATTAATCAAAATATCTATATTCAAATTTATGAATTTAGTATATATTAAAATTTAGAAAGCAAATGCTAAAGTATAACACCCTTTCATATAGGGCAGACTGAAAAGACTTTAAACTTATCGAGTGGTTGTATGGTAGTTTGGCATGATTTTTTACATTTTTCTTAGATTTTGCCTATATACAAAGAATATAATTAGTACATAATTGAGAATAAAAAGTGGATATTAATTCGCATAGCTTATAAAAGTTACCTGAAATTTTGGATCATTGTAAAGTGTTTCAATTATGTATTCTCAATCCTCCTGACTCACATCACCATATGGCTTGCTCTTTGGGTCAACACCAAACTCAACCAATTTCTTGTAGTGCATATGCATATAGTATTGGTGGTCCCTGTACCTCACAACAAATTTTTTGTTGACGGAATTCCTAACACCAACTTTTTCGCGATAGTCTTGAATGTTAAATTTTGTCTACAGCAAAATATAAATGTACAAATTAATTACAACACGTTGTAACACTCTACACAAGTAAATATATTTTGGAAACCAAACAAATATATCCACTAACCAACAAACGTGCAATCAGTGGTACCTTCTCCTCTTCGATTATTTGCTTCCATTTGTGGACATTTCTGATACGGGCAAACGTCCTTGCCAGGGAGCCAATCTCTGTCATCACTTTCGATGAATGTACACCAATTGGAACGCCAACTCCATCAGGAATCAACACATTTAGCAGGTCGTGAGCTGCACGAAGACGCTCAGCATTTTTTCCCTTAAATGGTCCTTGACCTCGTTTCTTTGTGGTAGAAGCTCCTGCGCAAACAATAATAACAGATGTTAGCCCACCATATTAAGAAAACAATGTTTAGACAAAAAAAAGTATGCATCAAACCTGTATTGCTAGCCTCAGTGCTAGTAAAAGGCTGTGACATAGGTGCATCCGATGACACAGCCTTAACATGTGCATTCGATGATGCACCCCTTGTAGGTGCATCAGATGATGCAACCCTACTAGCTATTGTGCTGGCTCGGTGACCTGGTCCCATGTATATACGACACCTGAAATAAAGAAATATATAAGTTATATCGTCAATATCCAAGTATGAACTTTATATATAAGTCATAATTTATTAATTACCATGAAAATATCTTAATAATTCATCTACATATCTAACTCTTCATCAGAATCAAAATGGGAATGCACATCATCATCTTCTTCTGAATCGACATACTCCACTTGTGCCTCATCATTGTCATCACATATGAAATCATCAATGTTATTGTCTTCTCTGCTTCCCCAATGGACAATCCGATCTCGAGCAATGATTTTTGGATCAAGATCAGTCCTACGAAGTTGACCTATTTCATTATCTTTGACTACTACAAGAGCAACCTCTGTTGATTCATCCTGTTGGAATGCATCACTTGGAACATATGATTCATTTTCACTAACTCCTATATCTTCCAACTCAAGAATATCTCATATTCCTCGATGTATGTGTTGCACAACTTGCCAATCCCTACCCAATTTTGTATCATTAACATAAAATACTTGTTTTACCTGATCAGGTAGGACAAAAAGGTCATTTTGATACCATCTACTTTTCACATTAATACTTGTAAAATGAGCATCAGTCTGAACTGTTTTCCCACTACCAAGGTTGAACCATTCACATTAGAACAAAAAAATACTATGGCCAAATATGTAACTCATCTCCCACACCTTATTTAAGTATCTGTAGAAGTTAATTGTTTTGTTATTATGTTCTCCTTCTACAACTACCCCACTGTTTTGACTTTTTCAACGATTATCACACTCTTTAGTGTGGAACCGGACACCATTGCATATTGCCCTAGAGTACAATTTTATTGTCACATCAGGACCGTTTGCTAGTGACCACAATTCATCAGTTGCTTCATGTGACCCTTCGCCTCGTAACTGATTCATCTACACACATGCATATGAAAGTTTTTATGGTTTTACAACTAATGCAAATAATGTTTATAATCTAAATTTGTATAGCTTACACGTTTTGCAAACCACTTGGGAAATTCTGCTTGGTGGCGATGAGTGATGTCACCATTTCTTTCCAACTCTAATATATTTTTGTGTTCCCTACGTATAAAACCATAAATTTGACATATAAAATATTTTAAACAATTACAAAGTACAATAAGAATGCTCACAAATATGTATATTTAACATACACATACTCTAGATACGGATTCAGTTCGAGACTATTATGTAGGACAAACCAATGAGCCATCTGTCGTTCCTGTTGAGAGACCTCAGTTGCTCTTGTAATTCGCCCAAAAGGACGAACATTTTGGGTGAACACAGCTAACCCATGCACATTTTCAACTCGATCTGCATTTCGTTCCTCGTGATTAAAATTTATTTCGATACTAGTAAGATACATCGAGCAAAAGGTAAGACATTCTTTGACAATATATGCCTCTGCAATTGAACCTTCTGGACTAGATTGATTACGAACATATCCTTTTAAAGTTCTGAGATACCTTCAATAAATCACAGAACATATAAGGAGATAATAACAATATCAAATGAGAAGCTAATAACAATTTAAAATATCACCTTTCCACTGGGTACATCCACCAATACTGCACTGGTCCAGCAATCTTAGCTTCCCTTGGCAAGTGAACTGCTAAATGCACCATAACATCGAAGAATGCTGGTACAAATATCTTTTCTAACTTACAAAGAATAAGTATTATGTTATCTTGTAGTGCATCCAAGTCTTTTACCATCAATGTCTTTGCACAAAGTTGTTGAAAAAAATTTTTCAGCTCAAATAAAGTGGTACAAATTTCCTTATCCAAGTAACCACGAATTCCAAGTGGAATAAGTCGTTGCAGAAGAACATGACAATCATGGCTTTTCAGCCTGATACCTTACCATCCTTCGTGCTCATAGACCTCGATATATTTGCTGC